GTGTGTGTGTGTGTGTGTGTGTGTGTGTGTGTGTGTGGCGTGTTCATGGGCAAGCAGGAGCGGGGGGGGGGGTCTTCTGGGGGGAGACTAGGTAAAGATTTCTAGTCTTCCACTATTAGCGCCATGACAGGGAAGACAAAGCATCGCTTTGAGATTTGTCTTTGTGTTTGAAAAGGCAGTTGAATGTTATTAATGTATTCCAGGAAGTACTGAACGCCAACTTGAAGCTTCTATCAGCTTTTCTTTGCCCTAATTTCTAAAGCAAAAATGCCTTCCCTCCAAATACTCTATTAAAAGAACATATGAAATTAATGAAACATATCATTACTTTTACAATGGCCGAATTGTAGATTTGTCACAGTACAGAGACAGAAACTCATTAAACCATTGTCCTTCTCCTTCACATTTTATAGTGTATTAAAAGAAAAAGAATTTTCTCAACTCACCAAACCTTCTTTTTTTTTTCCTATTGTTTCTCTGAAACTTCTTTTATAGTTTGAGCTGCAAATCATCTGACTTGTCTCTCCTGTGCCTTGCCTGCCGGGGGAACAGAAATTAAGAATGGATGTGGCTGAAAAGGAGAATCTCCATTTGGGCTTGTGGATTTCGTGGTTTATTTGAGAAGTAGGCTGGAGCTGACAATCCTTTGCATCCTTTGAAAGCAGAGGAGGCTAGGAGTATTCTTCTTTAACAACCCGTCACAGCCCTTCCCTCATCTTTCAGGTAAACTGAATAATTTATCCCATTGGGTTTGGGCGTTTTAGCAAATGTCAGCACAGTTGCATTGGAGCCAAGCTGATCAGTTACCCTCTACATTATATTGAGGAGCGCTTCATCTTTTGAGTGGATGCTGTGGATACAGGAAAGAGTGATAGGGCAAATCAAATGTGAATCAAGGTGGAACCAGTCCGTTTTCCTTGGAGACTCCATCCCTGTACTTAACTGCAATTGAGCTCTTCGAAAGAGTGTGAAAATCCTCTTAAACCTATGCAAACCAGGGCTCTTTGGTTGCCTTTTATTTGTCAAAGTCAGTCTGCATTAAAAAAAGTGCAGCACACAAACAGTGTGGCGTGGATTACTTGTCAATATTCACACACCCTTTTCACTTTGGAAAAAAAAGAAAGCAAACAAAATTTCTCACGAGGCGCTTGACAGAAAAAGCATCTTTATGACCCTGATCATGGAGCTCTGTCCTTCTTGTCTTATTCTGGAAAGTCATCAAGAAAATGATCTGTTGAAGGAAAGAAAAAAAAATGTCCTTTGGTCTTTTTCTCATTCTCTGGGTGGCCTTCAGTTACTTTTTGTATCAGTGAGAGTTCTTCAGAGAGACAGTATAGATATAAACTGAGATATATAGTTATAGACAATATACAGAATATGTATGTGCAGAGATATATAGAATATATATAGATATGCAAACTATATCCCTATGTATCTCTTTGTCTCTCTGTTAATTGATAGAGATTTAAAGTACTTGGTTCATAAGGGCCAGGAAGTCCAATTTCCATAGAGCAGACCAGCAGGCTGAAAACTCAGGCAAGATTTCTGTGTTATGGTCTTGAGACAAAGTTCCTTGGTCTGTGGGAAACCTCAGTTTTTGCTTTTAAGGCCTTCAACTGATTAGATGAGGCCCACCATGCATGTTATGCAGGATCATCTACTTTTCTCAAAGTCAACTGAATGTAAATGTTAATCATATTTACAAAATGCCTTTACAGAAACATCTAGACTAGTGCCAAAGCCTAGCCAACTCGCCAAACTGACACATATAAGTTACCATCACATCGTTTGTAAAAAAACAAAACAAAACAAAACAAAACAAAATTTGCCTTTGTGCTTCATGTTGTGTTGGAAGAATATGGTATTGTGAGTGAGAGGGACTTGGATTCAAAATCCAGGTCTGCCCCTTCCTGTATGTCCTTGAGCAAATAGAAAAGTTCCTTGAGTCTTAGTTTTCTTACCTTGAAGAGCATGCATTTCAATTAAGATTCCTTCTATTACAAGTTACAGAAAAGCCAGTCTACACAGGCTCAAAAACAGAACAGGAAAGTAGTGATTGCAGATTTGAGTTGGCATGAATTTGGAATTCACTTTGGTCCAGCCCGCACGTGTCACGGGGGCTCAGTTAGGATCCTGTTCATCTCTCTCCGATCTCAGCTCCCTTTGCCCTGTATTGGTTTCCTTGTCCTACGTTTCTCTTGCTCTGGTGGTAAGCAGTTACTGGCTCTTCCATATACAACCCTTCAAGTTAAAGATCGTTTAAAGGGCACATTTCTTTTCTTTTCTTTCCTGTTTAAATATAATTTATTGTCAAGTTAGCTAACATACAGCGTGTACTGTGTGCTCTTGGTTTTGGGGGTGATTCATCGCTTACATACAACACCCAGTGCTCATCCCAACAAGTGCCCTCCTCAGTGCCCCTCACCCATTGTCCCCTCTCCCCCGCCTCCCATCAACCCTCAGTTTGTTCTCTGTTTATTTAGGAGTCTCCTGTGGGTTTGCCTCCCTCTCTGTTTGAAACTATTTTTCCCCCTTCCTTTCCCCCGTGATCTTCTGTAAAGTTTCTCAGATTCCATGTTTGAGTGAACATATATGGTATGTCTTTCTCTGACTGGCTTATTTCACTTGGCATAACACCCTCCAGTTCCGCCCACGTGGCTACACATGGCAGGATCTCATTCTTTCTCATTGCCAAGTAGTATTCCACTGTGTATATAAACCACATCTTCTTTATCCATTCGTCAGCTGGCGGACATTTGGACTTAAAGAGCGCACTTCTGCGGTCTCAAGGCATGCCTGTCCTACCACTCTGTGTCCTGTGGCATGAAGCGTTTAGCATGGCAGGGCTTGGCTACATTGTTCGTTTCCTGGAGCTGAGCATGGAGCCCTGTCCAAACAGATGGCCTAAGCATAGGAAATGTCTGGATATACAGTGAAATTTTGGAGCCTGCTTGTCCACAAAGGGAGAATAGATGCTGGGGAGGCAAAAGCAAGTGTCCACTGCATGATGATTTTAATGCCTGACTCACAGGGGGGTTATCAGAATCGGATGTGTTTTGATCGAGCCCGAGGAGAATAGTGGGAATTCAGTGAAGGGCTGTCGCTGTTGTGGATATGCTTCTAATAGTACAAGCTCGGGAGCCCTCTGAACTGGTACCTCTCAGCTCTGCCTCTCCCACATCGTTCCCTTCCTTACTCCCCGAATGTCTTTCTGAGATATCTGGCCTTTGAAGTTCAGATTCCTTCCATCAGATCAGCTCCTATTGGCCTATATACCTCCCTAACTAAATATTCTCAGGCAATGGGGCATACTGTGTTAGGGCAGGAATGGATTTTAGGGAAAAAAAAATCTCAGATGTGTTTTTTTTTTTTTAATTTTGTTTTCAACGTTTATTTATTTTTGGGACAGAGAGAGACAGAGCATGAACGGGGGAGGGGCAGAGAGAGAGGAAGACACAGAATCGGAAACAGGCTCCAGGCTCTGAGCCATCAGCCCAGAGCCTGACGCGGGTCTCGAACTCACAGACCGCGAGATCGTGACCTGGCTGAAGTCGGACGCTTAACCGACTGCGCCACCCAGGCGCCCCTCAGATGTGTTTTTTAAAAGATGAGCTATTAGGGGATTTGTCTTAGATAGTCTTACCGAAAGATGGCCAACATCATCTTGGTATATCATGTATGTGTAATCAACCTGTTCTCAAGAGAATGAATAGAACTGATTGGAAGTGAAATTTTGGCAAATTGAAATGACAGTAGAGGATAATTTTTAGTTGCAATTGAAATGAAGAGAGTTCAAAATAAGAAAAAAAAAAAAGTGCCATAATGGGAATTCTGAAAGGTTCTGTAATCAGCTTATCTTGAGCGAAAGAATTAAAAGCAATTAATGAAACAGATTGGCTCCTGGGGTAGAGTTAAACACAACGCCCACTGCGCTCAGCTCTGTCATACATTCTTTTACTTCGGTGCCCAAAGTTTGTCCCTACTTCTCCTCAGCAACTTCTTTTTCAGCATTTTTCTCTATATTCCGCTTCCAGTAACACTGTTGGGCTTGTCATTGGCCCTTACCCGTGCTTGTGACTTAATCTCATTTTGCCTCAAGGAGAAGTGAAGGGGTGTGTGTGTGTGCGCGCGCGCGTGCGCGCGTGTGTGTGTGTGTGTGTGTGTGTGTTTGGTGATGGTGGTAGGGTCATATTAGACATGCTGGAATTAGAGATTCTGAAAATAAAAAAAGTGTTCTTTTTTGAGCACATTGGAGTGGAAAAAACAGTACGTAAGAATATTCTTAGAAATCGACTTGGGTAAGCACCCAGCAAAACCTTAGACCAAGAGTTAAGTGTTAATTTTAATGCAAAACAAAAGGAATATCAGTATTTGTTAAATGTGTATTTATTTATATTGAGAGAGAGTGGGGGAGGGGAAGAAAGAGAGTAAGGGAGCATCCCAAGCAGGCTCTGTGCTGTCAGCACACAGCTTGACATGGGCTTGATCTCACTGTGGGGCTCAGTCTGTCAAACCCGGAGATTATGATCTGAGCCAAAATCAAGAGTTGGACATTTAACCGTTTAACCGACTGAGCCACCCAGGTGCCCGAAGGAGTGCACCATTTTTAACAAGTGCAGCTACAGGAAACAAAGGAGGAAGTCACTTTTAGAAGACAGGGAGCAAGTTGAAGTGGCAAAAGACGATCCATTCCTAGGAAGAGTTTTATGATAGCTATAGAAATTCTTTTTTTAATATTTTTTAAACGTTTATTCCCTTTTGAGAGACAGAGACAGAGCGCGAGCAGGGGAGGGGCAGAGAGAGAGGGAGACACAGAATCTGAATCAGGCTCCAGGCTCCGAGCTGTCAGCACAGAGCCCAATGTGAGGCTCGAACCCAAGAATCATGAGATCATGACCTGAGACGAGGTTGGACACACAACCGACTGAACCACCCAGGCTCCCTCAGAAATTCGTTACTGACGTATTTCTGAATACTTTCTCAAGTCATCCTTTTTTTTGTTTTGTTTTCTGTGTTTTTCCCAGTTTTTGAGACTTGAGGCCATTTGCATAGTCAGTTTTTTTTCTCTGCTGTGCCAACAGCCTGGTCAGATGGGTGAGGACTACCCGTGCTTCATGGGCTGCTGGCATCAGCTTTCCGGGGGTAGGGGGGTAGGGACTCACGGCCCTGAAATACTGACTTGGAAAAAACCCTGGAGTTTTTTTGAACAAGTGTTTAGAAGCAGATCACATTTGAGTCTTCCCAGCCTTGGCAGAGCTCCATGCACATGCAAGTAAATTAAAATCGAGAATAAATCAAATGAGGGGAAAGGGAAGAAAAAGCGTTCAAGGAAAGAACCGTGTCAGTACTAGAGGAGTCGTATTTACTTTCTCGGGTACATCTTGAATCATAAGTAAACAATGATGAGTTTAAATTCCCATCCCAAAGTGTTAGTCGGCTAGCAAGCACTTCCAACCTTTTATCATTTTCTAAGTATCTCTGCAAGACCTTTTGTCCATCTGTCCTGTTCCAGGGCACCATTGTGAACAGGTACCAGCTTGGCCGTGGCACCTTTCATTGGAACAAAGCAAAGAGGTCGGTGTATTGGCAATAATTGAATTTCACCATGATCGCAGCCGCCGTCTAGACGGAAAGCCAGAGAGATGTTTCATTTATATCAACGTAAACAGTATTTATGGTGTGCTTCTTAAGGACTCAGTGTTTTTTGTGAATTATTCTAATCAAGATTTATATCAACTATCTAACGTGATTAGAACTATCCCCACTGCTTCAGATGAATAAACTGAGGCCCCACTAGATGAAAGTGATCTGGCTCCTAACAGCGTTCTCTCCCACGACCTTCTGAATCCAAAGCTCATCTTTTTAACCACTCAGGCTGTACTCCAGAGGAGACTTTAGCTAATACTTTGGTTTTTAAACAAATCGTCATAGTTGTGGCCTCATTTGGAGATGGGACAAGTAGGCACTTCGAGGTCATCACACTCGTCTTTAGCTGTGGACGGAGGAATGGAAGTGCCTTTTCCAACTCAGTCGAATGCCCTATTAGTCAGTTTACGGAGTATTTTAATTGTACCTTCCCCCAGTTGAGCTGTGGTGACAGTGCCGGTTTTCTGTAATGAAATCTCGGCCAGATTTCTTGGTTTTCCAGATGTTTTGGTTTAAGACATTCTCAATTGCTATTGAAAATTCAGTCTCGTTCGTTTTTTAAGATTGGTCTCAAACTCC